ACACCTGTACCTATCTGTACTGTGACATCATCATCCAGCACACCTGTACCTGACTGTACTGTGACATCATCATCCAGGACACCTGTACCTGACTGTACTGTGACGTCGTCATCCAGCACACCTGCAAAAGTATTAGTATTAGTGTGTGTGTGTGTTGTCTCACCAGTCCCCACCAGAGGGCATCTGCATACGTCTCAAACTGGTCGTTGTCCTCTTTTTCTGCCAAATAAACGAGGAAACTGGCCAGAATGAGACACAGGAAGCCGATATACCACGCAGTGATCAACTCCTGCAGAGAGACAGACATCAGACACAGTGAGACAGAGAGACAGATATCAGAATACAGTGAGACAGAGAGACAGACATCAGAATACAGTGAGACAGAGAGACAGATATCAGAATACAGTGAGACAGAGAGACAGACATCAGAATACAGTGAGACAGAGAGAGAGAGACATCAGACACAGTGAGACAGAAAGAGAGACATCATGATGTAGTGAGACAGAGAGACAGGCAGCAGAATAAAGTGAGACAGAGACAGAGAACAAAGTGTCACAGAGTTCAAACTATGTAATCAATAACTCTGATCGATTCAGTCCAGGATCAATGGAAACGATCAGATGTCAAGCTCTCCTTCAGGAAGACGATACCAATAAACCAATACTGCTGACACAACAGTGGAAGCAGTGGAATTTAAAGTGTCAGAGCTGAAAGCAGTTGAAGTGAAGGGCTTATCTGCAGATTGACCAAGAATAAAAACAATTGTTACAATACAGACAGGTATTTCCCAGGGTACCTTGCTGTGGGCGTAGACCACTGATCCCAGCAGTTTCCAGGTTCCTCCCCGTCGGTCCATCCTGATCATCCTCAGAATCTGAAGGAAACGAAGCGACCTGATGGCTGAAGTGGCAAAGACGTTCCCCTGAGTCCCTGCAGCCAACACTGAGATGGATGCTATCAACACCATGACGTCTGCAGACAGACAGACCAGAGAGACAGACCGGTGATTACAATGTCTCACATCATTCAACCGGTTTGAAAATGCTTTTCTTAGAACCCTTTCCTCCTGCTGAGCTGTCTGCAGACTCACCTGTCTGAGGGTAAATGAAGTGTTGTTAGAGTCTGAGGGTAAATGAAGTGTTAGGCGCAAGAAAAGCCATGTTCGTTGTTTACGTTCATTATGATCATTTGGAGGGAGTGGCTTTGGAGGGAGGCCTGAATCACGGGATTACAGTTGATTTGGTAACACTGTTTTTTGTTGTTGTTTTTTTTTCAGTTGAAGACAACAAACTCACCGATGACACAAAAAGGTTTTCTGGCAAATTTGAGTCGTCCTCTCCATCCTCTGTACCGACAGCAGCAACCTGCAGCCCAGATCCTCACTATGTACTCCACCCCGAACACCACGATGGTCACCACTTCCTGTTGCGCAACAACACAATGTTAGAAACCAAAACTGTGTTCAAAATGACTCGTTAAATACTACTATTACTCATTTTCTCTGCACCTCTTCATTAAAACAAGCCAGTTCAACGTCTGCTGGGGGACAATTCACATTAAATACCAACATAAGTTTTATTCCATGGGGCTGCCTTTTAACTTAATACTCTGAGTGATAGTTGATTCTGGTAAGCAGAGACGCAACGTATATATCTAGGCACTGCTGTTGTCAACGCGGGGGCAGTAATTTTATTTTCCCAAATGAATAAATACAAAGTACTTTGTGGCCATTTGGGTTCGCATTAAATGGATAATTTTTGCACCACAGCTCATGAAATTTGTATCACTCGCACTGCTTTTTGTCCCCTCATCTGTCCACCATTTAATCTTCAGCGCAATGCATGATGGTATATATTTTGCATATTTACTGACCATTGGTTGTACACTACTTTTACTGATGCATTGTGGGATACTTTGTCAAGTAATCATTATGATCGATTAATCTGCTGATTATTTCCTCAATTAATAGATTCATCATTTAGTCTATAAAACATCAGAAAAGAGCCAAATCTCAAGTTCACATACAGAACCAAAGCTGACGCCTTCAAAGTTTTACTAACCAAAAGTCCAAAAGTGTAGATTTGGTTTTAACTTAAACGTACACAGAAAGTCATCATGATTTAAACTGACACGTTTAAAAATATCATCAAAGTACGAAAACTCAGAAGCTCCTAAAAGTATCCCATCATTACATTTACAGAATGTATTCAGTTGATCCTCAGGTCAGCGTGTGGCTCTCTGATCAGAAGATGAATGAATGTGGGTATTTTTAACACCACGGCATGTAGAACTTACCAGAGTGTAGAGAGCGTTCTCTGAAGACTTCTCGTACTCCCTGATGGTGGAGAACACGGAGAGAACCAGACAGGAGAACACCAGCACGAACCTGAACAGAGAACACACGTTAAACTCCTGATACAGGAGGGACGATTGAGACTGTGACACCTGATCTGAGATCTAGCTGATCCTGGGTGCAGACTGCAGTTAATTGATACATTAAGTTAATATCAATCATCAAGTTATTGTTTCAGATTGATATTCATGTTTACATTTCAAATAGACTCCAAAGCAGTTACATAAAAGGTACTACTATGTATCTACAAAGGCCTCACAATACGATATTATGACGACACTTATGTCACGATACAGTCTTATTGCAATTTTAAAATGTTGCGATATGTTGAGAATTGCGCTAAAAATAATTTCCAACTGCAAATTATGCATTTTGTCATCATCATCTTTTATCAAATAAGATTACGTTTTCACTCGGCTCATCTCACTTCAATTATTTTTGTTGCCACTAGTATCTATGTGTATAAATATATGTATACATATACATATACATATATATGTATGCCGTAGACTGACAGGTGTAAAGACAGGTATTTACACGTAGGCGTGGTAGATGAAGGCCCATCCTCGAGGTCTCTCCAGGACGTTGTACAGGAAGTTCTGCAGTCGTCTGTAGAGGGCGTTTCTCTTCGGAGGTTTCTTTACTCCGGAGATGCTGCTGCGCTGCCGCCGAGGACCCTCCTCCCCACCTGAACACAGGTATATAATCACCGATTCACACTTATGTGAAACACACCGACTCTTCAGGACTGAGTTATATCAAACTGAAAGAGAGAAGCTAGCTTGAATTACATGTTTGGTACTTTAGCTTGAAAAATATGACATGTCAGGAAAAGTGCAACGCGTTAAGATGAACATCGTTGAGTGTGTTTTTAAATTCTCTTTCTCTTTTTTTTACCCAAGTCTTATTTCACTACATTTATACAGCTCAACAGTGACCACACACACTTTCTGAACCATTTTCTTAACTACGAGATGAATCGTGACCATAAAACATTTGATTCACATTCATTTAACAAGGCAACGGTACAAGACTGAATAAGAAGTGAAGGGACTACTCATCCCATAAACGGCGACTCCAGAAAAACAAACTGTTGTAGGTCTAAAAATAACGACAGATTCAGCAGCTGCGTGGCTTATTTTACGCCTGAAATGTTTTCAGAAACACATTTTGTTGATATTTTCATAATTGAAGAGAAAGCTTCCAAACGAGCCGTGATGTTGGTCCAGTTTGGAATTCGGGAGCAAAACACAGACTGTATAAACCGACTCCCCATTATTCTCTGCCTGGCTAAGAGATGCAATGTTGTTTTAGCGTCTAGAAGAGATAATGTTCACACTTAGAGGTGAGTGCTTTCTAAACCCTTTGTCTCCTATTGTAACGGCTCATCTGTTCTTCCTCCTGACTGACGTTTCTACTAATATCATCAGCCTGCAGCAGGCCCCTGATCAATACCCTGCTTAACCCCATAGCCAAATATAATAAAGTTACAGCTTATTTTTAATCTATTATCATTTACACTTTCATTTTCCTGAACATTTTTGCTCACCTCACTGTCTTCCCGTCTTTATATTAATTTGAATATTCTACTATCTTATTTTTCTAATGCAATGCGTGTTGCTGTTGTTATTGTACAGGGGTTGGGCGGAGTGGAAGGGTGGGTGGGAAAAAGAAAGTATGAAAAAATGGTGACCTGTAAACCTGGCAATGTGTTTGTTTGCTTAAAAAACAGAGTAGAAAAGTGTCAATTATCAAAGTAGTCATCAATTCTCTGTCAAACGGCTAATAAATGAGCTGTTTCAGCTTTATTTATGTTATTTTAGATTGTTCTTATTATCAACAAATCCCATAAAAACACGAAAACAAATTATGTTATTCCTTCTCTCAATACTTTGACTTCTCTACTGTTTCACTTCAACTACTTTCAGCTCTTTGAACACTTTCTACCTGGACACGTATCTGATAGTCAGATAACGAGATCGTGTCGGCCGCAGATTTGTGCAAAAATGTGCAAATCAAATGTGGACAAACTAAAACTGCCTGCGAACAAACCGTCATCATACAGTAAACATCTATTTACAAAGCAACTTCCACAGGTAAAGTAGTTGAAGTGTTATAGCTGGTGGCTGAAACGGTCAGTGCTTACAGTGACACTTCAACTGTTTTCAGGATATACCTTGTTAGTGAACACGTTCATGTTGATTTGGATCTTAACATTTTCATATCGCTACCATTAAGCTTAAGTTAAATAATAAATAATACCAATAAACGCCAGACAATACGCATGAGAGTCATCAGCCAATCACATGTAAGCACCCTTCAGTCATGCTTACAGTAAATATTGATTTATTTCTCTTCATTTAACCTCTTTGGTCTAAATTTGCAGCTCGTTTGTTGTTTTTGTTGTAACCGTGAAGCAGAACCGGGAATGTTTCCATCAGGTTCTCATCATCAGAAAACCTTGATCTGGTTTTACTGCTGATAATCTGAGAGCATGCGCACAACCACACACACACACACACACCGTTAACGGCCCCCGTCAATTACCGCCTATGAACCGGCAGGTTGTTGTTGTTGTTATTGTGTTTCGGTTGTTTTACCTGCTATGAGCAGAGCTCCGTCCCTGCTGGACTCGGTCCCTCCGGCCTCCAGACCCACGAAGCCCACCTTCAGCTTCTTCGGGTCGGCCTGCGCTCCGGGGAACACCCCGCCGTTCCGGGATTTCTGCACCATGACGGAGGGACCAGCACCAACCGGCCGATCTACTGCCAGCCTGCAGACGAGGCGCCCGAGACGGCCATGCCAAGCGGGAGCATCACCACGCTGCGGAAGAGGAGAAGTACAGAAGGACGGAGGAGACAAGGGAAGGAGGAAAATAACACCCGCAGAGAAAGACAAGCCGCAGATTGGCTGATCAGCAGATTTGTCTGATAAGCAGATTTGTCTTCCGTCACTGACTTCCCCTACAGAAAGGAAGTGGCGTGACGTCACTGACGGTTATTGAACAGCTCACAGATGAAAGGGGAAAAAAGTCAATGATTAAATTGAGCAGTTAGTCAAAAAGAAACAGACACACAGGATAATCATCTCTGACCCATCGCCATGGTAACAGGATGATCTGAAGGCAGTAACCATGACTACCAGTGGAGGAGGAAGAGGTTGTGATTGGCTCAATCAAATGTATAAATATTCAACTTTGTTAATATGTGACTTTGGCAACATTGCTGATGAAACTTTTCTTTCCAATAAAAAAAGACCCCTTTGAATAGAATCGATGACATCACACCAGAGGACCAATCAGAACGTGAGGTTCGTACAGGAACACACACACACGCAGAGACACCAGAGGTTTCCACACAGTTTATTAAAACCTCTCAGGTGACATCACCACTCAGCTGACATCATCACTCAGTAAACACCATGACATCATCGCACGCAAAAAAACTTTTTTAGCGACAGGAACCGTTGATCCTGATTGGCTGGATCAACAGGATCACACGTCGGTCAGAGAGGTTAAAGGTCAGGAGGGTGGGGGGGTTCAGGGGTCCTGGAACAGGGCGGCGTAAAACGCGGGCTCAGAGCGGCGGCTGCGATAACGAAGGATGATGTCATTGATCATGTGCTTTCTTCTGACATGGGACGGAGGGGCAGAGTCACTCTCCAACCGGCGCCGCTGGCAGCAGTTGATCACGGTCTCTCTGACCAGGAAACCTGGAGACAGAGAAAGAAACGACGTCCTTCAAATCGTGATTCATTAATGAAAATGTTTTATATTATAAGGTTTTTATTCCACAATAAAGATGAGACGAAGACAAAACGGACTTCTTTAACCAAAAACTGATTAAACCTACAGACAATAAAGGAGTTAAAAGATAAACTGTTATTTATTTATAGATTTTTCACCGTCAGTCAGACATACCCAAAGACCTCTTGCTGACCACACTCCCGTTGACCAATGGGACAACCGAACTGAACTTGCTGGTCGTGTTTCCAATGAAACGAATCCGGTAGAGTCCGGTCTTCAGAGGATGGACGAAGATCAGCTGGACGTTTGAAATACTAACAATGGACAGAAAGACGGTTTTGTTACTACTAAGTCTGAGGCCCTTTGTAAAAGTGTATTTGTGTGTTTCACCTGGTCGGTGTTTCGGTCTTCGTCCCCGACAGCAGGTCAGATAGAGGGAAGCTCTCTGAAAACACAAAGTTACAACGTCTCAACGTAACATTTTACTAATACTAGTTAACTATAATATCAACTAACGTTTGTTAGTCGTTATACTGTTCATCTAAAGTTAGTTACCGATATCCTCGAAGCGTTCGACCCAGACTATCAGAAGTTTAGATTCAGAGCCAACAGACGACAACTCAAAACGAAAAGACTTCAAGTCTTCAACTGGAGAACTCTGGACAGAGACGGACAAACAGAGAGAAAAGACGGACATGTCAGAGACTGACACACAGAAAGATAAGTGAAAAAGCTTTAATACTGAAGGTCCATACTGGGGGTTCGGGGGTGGAGTCTCTGCTGGGCTCAAAAAGACTCTGCAGGTTGGATGGCACCCCAGTTGGAGGCTCCGCCTCCTCCGGACTCTTCGACAAATCAGACGCTTTAAATAAAAACACAATTAACAATTTAATATGTAATAATAAGTAAATACCTTATATGGCTACACTTCTTATATGGTCACACCTCTCCTTATATGGCCTACATCTCCTTATATGGAACCACCTCTCCTTATATGGTCACATCTCTCCTTAAATGGTCTCACTTCACCTTGTATGTTCACACTTTGTTATGTGGTACCACCTCTCTTTAAATGGTCACATCTCTCCTTATATGGTCAACACCTAGGAGCTAACTGACTTTAGTACTTTGATCATCAGACACTCACTGTGTGATGATGAGGGTACGATGAAGGTGATCTCTGTCAGAGTGTCGGTGTACATCAGGACAAACCTCTGTCCATTAAAAACGCCCCCTCCACTGTCACCTAGCACAGCAGGGAATTCTTAAAAAAAAACAAAAATAACCAATTAAGGATGAAGGAGAACAGATTGACCACAGGTAACAACTTGACCCCTGACAGTGTCCTGTTGTTGAGAAGTGACCAATCAGAGCACTGACCTGAACTGTTGGTATTGAACCCGCCCCCCTGTCGTAGTCGCCCCATCTCCACTGGCCGACCGAGAGACCACAGGAAGTCCAGGAAGTGAGACTGGACGCTGCAGCTGAACTCTACATTCCTCAGAATCTACAAAGACAAAGTTAAGCAAAGTTCTCTCTACACAACTTTCAAAGTTGTCAGATTGCTGCACTGTTCCACAACTGGCTGTCTTGTGATCGCGAGTCTCTCCCCAATAGACTCCCCCCAACAGGTCCAGATATTTAGCATGTCAGATATCTGGAATGTCTCTGCGATGCAGCGGCGAGCCTATCGGTTTGCTCAAACCCTAATTTGCGAGGGCTGAGCCATTGGTGATTTGTCCTCAGATCTGGGGCTCTTTTAATGGAAGTTCAAACAATTGTCAGTGAGTGGAAAATCAGGGCTGATGTTGTGTAGTGTGATCTAGACGTAAGAGATGAAGCCAGGCCAGGGAAACCTGGACAGACTCAGGACCACAACACCAACCCAATCAAACCAAATCATCAACCAACAAGGAAACTATGTCACATGCTGGAAGCAAACAACTAAAACACAGAGAAAATTTGACCTCAGCAGCTGTCCTCTGTCCTGCTCTCATGTAAAAGATGAAGGTGGAGTCACAGTTTCTGGATGGCAGCTGGTCCAAAAGTCTCAGATCCTCAGAGAAACCTGGAAGTGACGAGTCCAGAGACACCAGCTGAGCTGGGACACCGCTGGTACCTGGACTCTACCAAGGACAAGTGAGAGGGAGAAAGGAGAGACAGACGGCTGTGACTACAGACAGGTCTAAACGTATCAATAAAATCTATCTCCACCGTGTCCTTGGTACCTTCAAGGTCTCAGGTGTCAGCAGGCCCAGGTGGGACAGGAAGAGTCTCGCTGTCTGGAAGTTGGTAATTGGATGCGGCGGCCTGCAGGTCTTCATGACAACTGAGCGTCCGCTCACCTGCGGCCGAGCCTCCACCTGTCGCTGCCGCTTCAACGCTGCTTGCAGACGGTCCAATTGCTGCTGCACCTGTCAGAGGAGGAGGAGTTTATACCTAACTGGTAATTTACCCACACCTGAGCAGGTGCTAAACACCTGTCTGACGTTAATTTAGCTCCCGACAGTTCTGTGACATCCAGATTTTAATATTAGCAAGACAATTAAGTGAAAAGAAGAGGACCTAAACGTGATCCCTGAGGAACACCACTGGTAAAGAAATAAAGGTAAAATGAACAATCAGCAGGGTTTGGATCTGGGTTGGACCAAGTACGTACCTCCTCAGTAACGGTCTCATGCAGAGCTGGAATACTCAGATCTACTTTAACTGAAGCAACTCTGTCAATGTTTTCAGGAAACAGCTGAAAACCACATCGTATCCCAGCACCCTCCTGGGCCACATCATGCTGCTCTGGGATCAAGGTTTGCTACAGATGATCAACAGACAGAAAATACTGAATACTGATCTCAAGCCTGACAAACAGGCTTTGTGTTTTTATTGTATTTGGTCATTGATGGAAGTGGTCACCTGTGTTTCTGTTCTTCCCTCTCTGGGTTGCAGGTGGAGCTGTAGAGTCCAGGTGTGACCTCCTGACGGACCTCTGATCAGCACTGTGAGTGACGGACATGGCGCTGCACACACCATTCAAAACATTAGGATTGTTGTCTTTATATCTAAAAGGATTAGTTGACTGATGTATTAGTTGATCGACAGAAAATAAATCAAAAACATCAAGAAACAAAAGAGCAGTGAAAGGAAGCTACATCAGTTTGTTTCATCAAATGCTGTTAAACACTGTTGAGTGTGATCTAATTTAGAGGTTAATTTGATTTTGTCATGTTGAAATCTTTGACTGATGACAGGGGAAGAGTCAGCGAGCTTTTTAGTTTCATCGTGTTCCGGCTGTATGAAGGTCTGTGTTTCTGTCTATATCATGGTTCAAGATCAGTGAATCAGGACTGACCCTGTTCAGGTCCCTGTGGTTGTTCCAGCATGGATAAGATGACCGAGCGGTCCACCACAAAATATCTGAAGTTCTTCATACTGCTGTCACTCAAATTGGAGTGGCCAATCACAGCGTCCTCACCCAGCAGGCCTCCGAGAGATGGGAAGGCCCCCGAAACCTGCATAACACTGAGATAAGAGTAAAGATCAGACTTGTAATAAGTTCTGCAGATAATGTTTGGGTTGGGCTTATTTTAGAATGAGGCATTCGACTTAAGTCTGCTGTAACATGTGTACATGGCAACTACAGATTAAGACAAGGCAACTCAAACTTGGTTCACTTAACAGATATTTCGGCCTTCATTTCAGCTCATACTTTCACTTTTAACAACAATAATAATCATGGCAACGTGAGGTCAAAAACTGTGTCCCACTACACATGTTTCATACAAGTACATGTTGTCCCACCACAGCTGGTCATCATCATCATACAAAACTAATTACACAATTACTTGTGAAAATGTACTTTTTATCTAACACAAGATGGGCCAAATATGTGAACTCTGCTCATATTACTCACGTGATTAAGGTAGTGGAGATGAAAAAAAGGTATTCCTTCATTTAAGAAATATCAACTTTATTTTAAAACACCTAATACCTTTACACGTGTGTTTGTTTTGCTCACCAGCTCAGCGTGGCCTCTGCAGCCTCCTTCACCCTCAGAGAGGCGGGGTTCAGTTCTTTCTTTTCTTTACACCTCACTTCCTGTTCCTGTCTGGACTTACTGCCTGAAATTCCCAGTTCCACGATCTCCAAGACCTCCAACAAACACTCCTAAAAAAGACAAAAAACAGCATAACTACATACTGTATATAGAATTCACGAAACACACACACACACACACACACACACACACCACAGTCACCATTTCTGTTCAGCCTCTACACCTCCGACTTCAGCTACAACTCCAGGACCCGCTTTCTGCAGAAGTTCTCTAACTAGTCGAAGTGACAGATGCTGAGAACAGGGGCATTGTACACTCCATTGTTAAGCGGTGTGAGCCGAACCACCTGCAGTCAAAGACTGGCAAGACGAAGTAAACAGTAAAGTTGTTTCCAACCAGGGTGGATGTGCAGGACTACAAAGACCTGGGAGTACATCCGGACAACAAACTGGACCGAGCTAAGAACAAGAAGGGACAGAGCCGACTCTTCTTCCTGCTATCTTCTTTGCTGTGGTGTGCTGGTGCAGCAGGGGGAGGATAATCAACGCCAATAGAATCAACAAGATCAGTGTGAAGGCTGGCGCTGTCCTGGAGGTAAAGCTGGATTCTTTATTGGTGGTGTTGTCATGGTCAATGACTCTCAGCCTCTCCTCCATGGGCTGCTCACACAAGAGGACCTTCTGCAGTAGACCACCACCACAATGCGCCACATAAACTAAAGTCCAATGATTGACTTTCTGGTCATATCATCAGATCTGCAGCCGTATGTCTTGGACACTTGGGTGAAGAGAGGAGAAGCGCTGCCAGCTGATCACTACCTGGTGGTGAGTTGGATCCGTAGGCAGCGGAGGCTGTCGGACAAACCAGTTAAACCCAAAAATGTTGTGAGGGTGAACTAGGAACCTCTGGCTGAAGGTCTTAAACACCTCCCTTCAGTAAAAATTCCTATACATTTAGTTACTTATTGATTAGTTACCTGGCTGTTAGTTACTGGTTAGTTAATTACCGGTCGGTAAATTACCTTTTACAGTGAGGGAGCAGCAATCCGATTTGCATTAGCAGAGCGCAGTGGAATGGCAGGAGTGTAAGGTTTGATCATATCCTGAATGTAGGCTTGAGCCATTAGGCAAGTACCAGGGTCTTCAATCAGATTGGAAAAGTCACTGAGAGCCGGTCCAGAGGAGCGAAGTTGTGTGGGAGAACTTGGGTATAAGACCAGCCGGGTCAGTTGATTACTTTCCTGGCTGTTTTTTTACCTGTCGGCTTGTTTCCTGGCTGTTTGTTATCTGCTGGTTAGTTACTTGGCTGTTAGTTGCATGGCTGTTAGTTGCATGGCTGTTAGTTGCATGGCTGTTAGTTGCATGGCTGTTAGTTGCATGGCTGTTCATTGTATGGCTGCTAGTTGCATTACTGTTTGTTACCTGGTGGTCGAGCAAGGTGGGGTGCTGAGATAACCAGACGTTCAGACAGTAGAATGCAGCGACGATGATGGAGTGCAGATCTCTGGAGTGAAGTGGAGGAGGACGACTGCACTGAAACACGATGTAACAACAGACTGAAGTGACGGCTCGCCTCCTCTCACTCTCTTCCACACTCACCTCCACCTGCAGGATGATGAGAGAGGGTCACAGTAACATTTACAATTAGTTTAGGGTCTCTGTGTGTGTGTGTGTGTGTGTGTGTGTGTGTGTGTGTGTGTGTGTGTAGGTGTGTGTGTCCACCTTAGCCAGTCCTCCCAGTACTTCCAGTGCAGTGAGACAAACTGCTGAGTCATTCCTCCACTGAGCCGTCAGACGCTGAGTCAGCAGACGCACAAACTGAACCCACAGGATCCCTGCTGCGTCTGACTGGACGGCTGGTTACCATAGCAACGCAAGCAAGAACGCACACACACACACACAAAATCAGATAGTTGCTCTCAGATTTCCATCACATGACGGTCAATGTTATAAAATTAATTTAAACTTAATTAAAATCATCGTCAAAATGAACCTCCGGTTCCTCTGGTCCATCTATTTGCACTGGGTCCACTGGGTCCACTGGTTCCCCCGGTCCATCTGGCTCCACCTTGCTGGGACTCCGTTTCCTGGAAACAACAGTAGATGAAGTGTATTAATTTCTCCTGATAATAAAAGAAAAAAACACAGGAACAGTGTAAAGTCCTGTTGGCACCACCTGCAGGCTGATTGTTATAAATAATTCAGTCCCAAATATTATCTATAATTCCAGGCATCCCATAAATACCACATGATGTACCGTGACATGTAACACATCTTACATCAAGAGTATGTGAAAGACAACAAAACCCTGTGCAGTAAAGATCATTTAGAGAATGTTTAATATTGAGACATGAACCAGAATTTGATGATTTAATTTCATGGATGTTTCTACGAAATAGGCAGAATAAAAAGGTTAATAGTCAACCTAAAAATTGACCTAAAACATTAAATAGTTATTTATTTCTGTTATCTAATTATGTTTATCTGTTCTTAAAATAGAGTTCCAGTAAATGTCAGTATATGTGAGTTGATTCACCTGCTGAGTTTGTCCTGCAGCCTTTATCAGAGCCGAGTCCTGAACCAGGTTCAACATGGCCGCTACACAAAACAGAAATCATTCACACTGTCTGAGCTCTGAGTGTGTAAACACAGTAGAGACCGCCAAAATAAAAACAATTAAGTCAGACAGAGTAAGAACAGTACAATGAACAAATGAATGAATGATCATGATCTGTAACTGACCGAGTATTATCTGTGTGTTGGAGGTGTCTGTCTCCGTCTGCAGAGCTCCAATCAGAACACCGATGAGGCGGGGCTTCAGAGACAGGAAGCTACCTCCTGTGACATCGTCACCATTGAACCGCCCGTCCAATAACACCTGAATCCACACACACACACACAGCTGACTGTTACTCTCTACTTGGTTATTATTGGATGTTCTTACTTCACCTGTGAGGTCCAGCTCAGGTTTGCACAGGTGTGTGTTGGTTTTTAAAAGGGTGGATAAAAGCTTACCTCTGATCGGACGGATCCAAACTGCAGAGGGAGGGGCAGCATGGTCAGCAGGACCAGGATGGAGGCTCGCCTTAAATCCACCGGACTCACAAAACCTTTAAACATCAACAGGTCTCTGGACAAGAGACTCATAGATTAAACTACCCAGCAGTGTATAAAGTAATGTGCTCCACCTTTAACAGCCACAGAATTAAAGTGATGAACACATTTATGCATCAATAATTATACAATTTTGAATGCATGACTTTTACTTGGGACGAAGTATTACTACTTTACGTAAGTAAAATATCTGAGATTTGAGGCTCATTGGTAAAACAAGCTGGTACCCACAGGGTTCTGGGTCCAACTCAGACATGGACTTGGAGACATGGGGGTCTGTGCGATGTCAGAGGCCCGGGTCTGCTGACCCCTGACTGTAAGAATTCCAGCACTAGATTTTCTTCTAATTATGTTTTATAAAAAACAATCACAACAGAATCTTAGATGGTTCTTCTCCAGAACCGAGAGACTGTGAGGCCAACAGCAGCAGAACTGTTCTGCAGTACAAGTATTTAAAGAAGCAGTGTCTACAGTAATGATACTAGTATTCACAGCGATTGTGGTATTTGCAGTAATTGTACCTGTCGAGCAGCACTTTCTCCACAGCTGAGATGAAGGAGGGAAGCAGCAGGTTGACTCCTTTCAGGTCACAGCAGAACAGACAGGTGGAGTTCAGCAGGATGGAGGCCAGAACAGGAGGACACACTTCCTCCGACACCTGCAGACCCTGAAGGAGAACCAGGTAGAACCTGAAGTTTGGACAGAGGAGAGAAGAACACACACAAGTTTTAAATGTGATGAAGTTTACTACAAACTAAAGACAGACAGAACAACAACTGTCATCAGATTATATAGTAGTACAGAGAGGTCTGCACCTGGAAAAGTGTTAAGACATATGTACCTGGACAGGTAGACAGACATGTACCTAGACGGGTAAAGAAACATATACCTGGACAGGTAGACAGACAGGATGTCCTCTGCAGTTTTCTTACAGGTGAAGATCCTGCAAAGTGTCCCGCAGGCCTCGGCTCTACCAGCCGCCCACCTCGCTGACATCACAGTGACATCACCATGACCGGCTGGAGAAGACACAAAGAGAGTTTATCATGTGAATGGTGACAGTAACACTACACAGTGCATGAATAACCTGTAATGTGTGTCATATGTATAGTACTGTGTGCAG